GGGCAGGACCCGGAGCGTGCGCAGAGGGGACGGAGACGCAGTGGGGAGGGTGGGGTGGGATGAAGCAGCTGTAGGTGCTGCCAGCTAGTAAATATGGGGACGGACAGCTTGCCCGCCAGGTGGGAAGAACCACGCCTTTCTTCTCATCTCCAGGATCTAGTGGGGGGTCTAGAGCACGGGAAGGGTTCAGTAGGCAATTACTGAAACAGTAAACAAATGAGTGAATAATGACTATAGAAATTGTGCAGACACAAAGGACTGGCCTTTCAGGTCCTTCGCAGGTAGCTGGCTGACCGGCCACAGCAACTGTTGGTCACATCTGTCACCCTGAGAATGCTTGGGGCCAGGTGAATGTTCGACAGTCCAGGCTGCCCAGCCCTGAGACCTCATCAGGAGAGCTGCTATGTGAACCACTTATGAAGAAGCCACTTAAGTGGATTCCTCGACTCTCCTTGGTAAGTTATTCTGTTCATGACTCTCCCTGGAGAAGTATCCAAGGGTCTAACAAGCCATGTAAGCAAGGCAATTTTTCATACCATGCAGCTGAAATCTCCCCATTTGGGTAAACATAGTCAATTTTATTCTCTTGTCTCCACGGAGACACAGAGCAGTCTCTCATGGTCGTCCACACCACTGCCTTGGGTGACCCCGGAGACCATGAGAAAGTCAGCTTCCTCTCCTGTGCGGGAGAGCAGAGCCTGTGAGCATTCCTCGGTTTGCTTCAGCTGCATTGTCACCCCCACCCTGTCCCCTGTGATGTTCGCCAAGGACGGCTCCAGTCCTGTTCTGGCAGGGTCCCCAGCCGAAGACAACTCTACCTGCTCTTCATTTGTCACATGCTGAAGCCATCCCTACCCTGAAGAACTCCCAATAGGCTTATTAAATATCCCTTTCAAAGCTGTTCATTTATCACCATGGTGGTAGCAGGCCAGTCAAAGAGAAACCCATTTTCCCCGTTTCTGATCATCTGAGTGAGTATGCAGGCAAAGATGCCTGCCTCGAATCCTTCATGTCGGCTAATGCCATGCAGTCATATTTGCAGAAGTCTCCAAAGGAAAACGGTGTCAGGCCACAGTGCTGCTAAGTTCCCTCGGCTGGCACGCTAGTGTGCTGAGACACGCCGAGCAGGCCTGACCTCCGGGGTGTGCCAGAGATGCACAGAAGGCCCCTGGCTGCCCTCGGCGTCTGTGGTTATTAGATGTCCTTGCAGGGATGACGTGTAAGACAAGCAAGGATATCTCCAGACAGACAACTCAATCGTATTCGAGGTTAGCAGGGATAAGACTTCACATAAATAGACAAGCACACGTGGGGGCGGGGCTTCACGGAAAGACACAAAAAAGAAACTCAGAGGTGCTCTCAATGCAGGCAGAGATTCCTCTGCAGAGGACAGACGAAGAGAAACACCGTCTGGGGAAAAATTTTGAAATCACTTGGTTTTCAATGCAAATTGGCCTTGGACACTGACCACATAAAGATGGTGGGGGGAAGCGAGGGGAAGACACTTCCTCAACACTTTACCTATGTTTTCTCATTTAATCCCGTTTAATCTAGCCAAATCCGTTTTTCCTGTTTTCAGATCCAATTCTGGAAGCAACACGGTTATCTGTCATGAAAAACTGAGCTCACAGACCAACGCCATCCCGGACACGATTCTGGCAGAATGGAGGCCTCCCCACGTCCGCCTTCTCCTTTCCTCTGACAAGGGGCCAGCCAGGCGGGATTTATTACCTATGATGTCACTGAAGCTCCAACAAAAGTCACCCTAAAAGCCAACAGCCAGTAATTGGAGGCCACGGGGAGGCACGGGGGAAAATTCCGTCAGCCCACTCCTGGTGCTGGGTGCCACCTCCCTGGGGCTAATGGGGTCCCCGAGCCAAGTGCGTTGCTGAAACCCCTCCCCACTAGGAGGGGATGATGCTCAGAAAGCTCGCTGGTGAACCTGAACTGCAGCTGTGCTCTCCGTACCCAAAGGAGAATTACTCATTTCAGTCTGACTCATTATAATTAGAGTAGATTTCCTTTGGGGAGCAATATTTACTTTTTAAAATAAAATGGCAATGAGGGATTTGTTAGTGTTTGCAAGGCCTGCTCACGGGTTGCAGATTTCCTTTGCCGAGGGAGTGAGCATCCGGAGTAGCTGTCACCAGGGTGCTAGTCCTGGGCTCAGGCTTTCCTCAGGGGAGGGCAGCTGAGAGGGCACATGAACCCCTAAACCACGGGTCAGCAACCACAGCCGTCGGGCCAAAATGCCTGTTCTCCTAAAGTTTTATCAGAACGAAACAATGTCCATCTCTTTCTATATTGCCTACAAATGCTTTCTCTCTACAAGAGCAAAGTGGACTAGTTGAGACCAAGATCCTATGGGCTTGCAAAGCCTAAAACATCTGCTACGGGCCCCCTACAGGAAAAGAGTGCTGAGCCCTGCTCCGATGGATAGGATGCTCTCAAGGGTGAGTTACATTGCCTACTATATTCAGTACAAGAACTGTATCATAAAAACCCCAAAGTTCAAAAAAGTTTAAGAACTCAAAACTTCCACGAGCCCATTAGTCCTTTTGGTGCTATGGCCAAATATCAGCAATTACTACTTCACTGAACATTCATTTCCTTGGAGCAGAAAGGAAGTCGAACTTCCCTCACCGGAAGTAATATCCTGAACACCTACCTACACAGGTCCTGGCTACTTGCCTCCACCCACTGGCTTTGCGTTTAAGTGATTGAGGATCACAAGAATGTATTAAGTGATTAATCAATCCGTTCGTGCATTCATTTCTGACCTCAACAAATATTTACTGAGCTCCAGGTGCTGTGCTAGGCACCCAGAATACAAGATGACAGTGCTGGATGCCCAGATGAAGGTGGCTGAACGGGGGTGAGACACATCGGTGGCAGCAGGACATCGTAGTGACCGGAAGCTCGCATGGGGACGTAGGAGGCCGCAGGTGGAGCCCAGAGGCACGGGGAGGGGTCAGGGAAGCTTTCTCAGAGAAGCTGATGTGTATTTAGCTTTGCTGCCAGTTCCTCTTTAAGAGGTTAAGTGTGAGGACTCTGTAATCACTCAGGCCCACCCTCGCCCCTAGAAAGCATGACCTGAGTATAAAGTCAATTGTCCCAGAGGCAGCAGTGGCTTCGGGTAGGGAATGGGCTGGCCTAGCAAGTAAGGGGTCTGGAGAGTGAGCAGTGTGGAGCCCCGTCTGCCTCCAAATTCCAGATGTAATTCTAACGTCATGCACGCACACGCACACACACACACACACACACACACACGCTTCCTCCTTTAGTAAACTGTGGGTTAGGTTTTCTGCAAACTGCAGGATCAGGTTGAACGGCCTCTGTTCCAGGGTCTGGCCTCTCCTGCGTGCCGAGGGTGAGGCGTGGGTCCATAAGCTTCGTGATAATCACTGGGTGACAAGGAGAGAGGCAGCAGGTCTGCGGAAAGAGGCGCTGGCCAGCGTGTGAGTCACGATGTCCTTTTCCTGACGTCTGTGAGGAGGCTGCCCAGCCCGAGCTCTTCCGCGAGTCGGGGGGTAAGGCCGGCGGGCGAGGCTGTGGGGCAGCAGGCCGCCCAAAGATCATGGAGAGCAGGGAGACACTCTGTGGAGGTGACAAGTCACTTGTACGGAAGGATGGGACGGATAGGGGTATGATCTGCTTCCCAGAAACACCTTCAGTCAGGATTTCAGAGGGATTTAAAGTCGGCTGTTGGAGACTCGGTCTTGAACACGGCTCCCTCCTGGGAGCTGCAGGTCCTCCTTGTGGGAGGGTTAGCGCCTCTGAGGAAAAGCGAGCTTCATCTCCTTGCACTGACTGGTGGGTCGGTATCCCCCTGCCATGGCCTCCAGCCTCCCCTCACTTGCTGACTCCCATTGGCTAGATGTGCTTTCCGGATCCTGATGACGGTGTGCCTGGCGCCGGGTCCCCGCGGTAATAGCCAGGACAGCGCTGTGGCCCACATCCTCCTGTTTCTTTAAACCATTTCAAGGCAATGGAACCAACATGCAACCAAGGGAATATAATCGCACCACTGGGAAAAACGAGACTATTTTAATTCTTAAGACAGAAGACAGACTGCCCAATATTATCTCACCCCAAGCTTTTGAAAACAATCATTTTCTGTGTTATTTTAGGAAAAGAGTTTTTGAAATGCAGCTTTACGGAATCAGCATCAAGACGCAGGAGGACGTGGTGAGCTGGACCCTGGCCGCGTCACTTGACCTCATACTGCAGGGGCTTCCTGCAGGGGGCGCTGCAACCTTCGGGAAGAAGATTCGGGTAATGCTGGAGCCAGAACACACCTGAGAGATCATCTTACCCCGCCTTTCACTCAACATCGGGCGGGCTGACTGCAGCCCGACAGCTGAGGGTTCCGATAACACCCAGGACTAGAGCCCTCGCCTCTTGACTGCTGTTTGCTCAGAGCCCTTCGCGCTAGACTGGCCTGGCCATTCAGTTTCTGGAAACATGTCGGTTTTGCCAACCGGAGTGGGAGTCCGTGCAGGTGTCTGATGTGGAGCCGTGAGGCTGCTCTGGCTGTATGCTGACCTTACACGCAGGGAGCCCGGCCCCACAAAGGCCAGCAAATCCACCTTCTCATAAAACCCTCGGAAGAACAGGGCCAGACTTCCAAGAGCAAAGCAAAAGAAACTTTCGATGACTACACGATTCTGCTAATTCCTATTGACAGTCCTTTTGACAAGGCTTACCCCCTTGACTTCACAGTAAGCCTGTGATCTACACACAGCTACAGTTGGGGGTATCAGGATATCAGGGTATTGGATCTGGGAACCACAGTACAGCCTGTTCCAATTTCAAGATAATTCTCTAACAACAACAACAACAACAACAAAATGACCATTTTACACATGCAAATATTCTGGTGTCCTTTTCCAAAATGTATCTCACACAAACCCAGACATCGAGTGTCATGAGACAGATTCAGCCTCTAATGTGTAAACTTCATCAAATTCAAACCTGGTCACTGAGCTTGATTGGCTTACCAGCTGCTGGCCTTTAGGACCCCAGCCTGCATACTGAAGTTTTGCGTTGCTCACTTCCGGTGGGTCCAGACTTTGAGGATCCCTGAAAGAAAACAAATAAATAGATAAATAATCAATCAATCAATCAATTAACATGGTGGGAAACAAGAATGCTGTATGTTTATCCTCCAGCTCTAACTTTTCCCCTTCTTCCACTGTATGAATTTCAAGAGCTCCTGTTGTTAAAGAATGTCTCAGCCTCTGTTATATTTCTTCAGATGTACATAATTTACATGAAGCTGAACCAGTCCCATCACTGCTTAACCCAGATAGTAAATATTTATCAAGAGACAACATGCAGAGCGGTCTGTAGATCAATTATTAAAGTATCCACACCCACCAACATTAAAAATGGAAATGCATGGCTATGCAGTAACAATCCCCATGATTTCTATGTTCATCGTGGGCTTTCCAGGTGGATCACTTTTTTTCTAAGCATAATGCCAGGTCATTCTGACCTTCCCAAACCAGCAGCCTGAGGACAGATTCCACACTTTGGTTTGTGTTGGGAAGGAGGGAAGGAGGAGGGGAGAGGGGAAGACTGAGAGATTTTTTTTCCTTTCAAACATCACTTAGATTTTTCATTCTCAATTCATTGATATGCAAAATACTATGCTAACAAAATCCTACTTACACACTTAAATAAACGTCATAATGAAGAAGTCATAATGAAAGAATGAAAAAACCTAACACTTTTATAAGTATAAAATATTTCAGTATATTTTGTAGTTAACGCTGCTTTCTACAGCATGTGGAAAAGATTAATTTTCATATTTCTTTCAGATGACATATTATCTGTGCTCTGCTGGACAGGCCAGACTCTGTCAGGTGCATACCCTATCACTTGGCTGTGATATGCAGAAGACACAGCTATGAATTTGTCTACTGAGCACATCTACATAGCACTCATTCATCTACTGAGAGGCTGTGGCTGAGTGGTCTTTGGAAAAGGAAGATGCTGAATTTTAGGAGTTGCTTGAACAAAAGAGACGAGGCAAGAAGGAAGGGAGGTAAAGTGTAGGTACTGATTCTGGGCTTGAATCAGCAGAAAATTCTAAAGCAGTTGCTTACTAATACTACCAGAACAAAACAGAATACACTTAGGAGTAAAAAGTGTTGGGGAAGGCGAGATAGTCTGCGATACCCCAGAGTAGTTATTTACATGGGGTCCCTGGGTGTAAAGAGATCAGGGAAGCCTGAAGATGGGGTGATTCGGTGTTAAGTAAGGGATGGCAATGATAATAGGATTCAGCTGGGAAGGCTGATGACCAGGCAGTTAAAAGAGTAAGGGAGGGGTCTTAACATTCCCGGTTTTAAATGAATTTTAACAAACCCTACCATTTGTATGTTTTTAATGTTTCAAAGTATTTTCATAACATGGGCCATTTCCTCTTTAACTGTGGGTAGGGAAAGGCTTTCTAAGGACTCAAAATCCAGAAGCGATTAAAGAGTGACACATTTGACTATGTAAAATTTTTAAACTTTTTGCATAACAAACACATCACAAACAAAAGACAACTGACAAACTGGGAGAAAATATTTGTAACATATACCATGGAAAAATAGCTAATATCCATAATATATAAAAATACCCTAAAATATTGAGGTTACAAAAAAACCGAAAAAAAATTAGAAACATGAGAAAAAGACATGAACAGACAATTCACAAAAAGGATATAAAAGGTCCTCAGATGTATTAAAAAGGACCAAACAATGCAAAATTATAGAAATCGAAACTGAAACTACATTGAGTTATCATTTTTCACCTATGACATTGCTCCCCTCCCCGAAAGAAAGAAAAGCATGGCACACTGTATTGGTGAGGCTGTGAGGAAAAAGCCATCCTCATACTTTGCTGGTGGGCATGAAAACTAGTGCAAACCTTTCAGAGGGAAACTTGGTCATACCTAATAAAATACATACTTAACTCTTGAACTACAACACTTCTGGGAAGATATACCTCCCACAATACAAAAATACGCAGAAGGTTACATTCATTGCAGCTTTGTAATGACAAAACACTGGAAACAATATGTGTTTGAGGAAACCATGGTGCATCCATACAAATGGAATATGTGGTACAGATGTCAGAAAGAATGAAGACCTCCATAAACTGATATGGAGTGCTTTTCATGATGGAGTATGCAAAACTCAACAGACCATCTAGAGTATGTGACCCATCATATAAGAAAGGGATAAAAGAAAATATACATGTATCCTCATTTGTGAAAAAAAGAAATACAAGAAACATAAACCAGAAACCAGAGGTTAGTCATGTGTAGGGGGTGGGTGGGAAGAAGCAGGGATTGGTCATGAGGAGGCTGGATAAGAAAGGAGAAGCACTTCTCTGGGTATATTTATTGGTATAATGCCCAGTCTTAGACAACAGTAGGGTTTCATATACTTTTTGCATACTCTACAAATAAAACTAAGAATTAAAAACAGGATGTGGGGGAACCCAAAAGGGAAGAGCAACACCCCAACAGAGCAAAACCCTATTGGAAATGAAGCACAAAACTACACGGAAGGGGTGGGGAAGGAAAGAACCAACATAAATGACTCTGGGAAACAGTATCGTGACTGGATATCATAAAGACAAAAAGATCAGACGACAATGGGTTAGTAATTCTGAAACGACTTTATGTGTGTGCTAGAATTAAACTATTCTGCAAGTATATAAATATAGTGGAGATAAAGAGAGCCAGTTTTCTTACTGCTGGAAAAACAAATTATAAGGAAAAGGGGAGGGCTAAAATGAACTGTGTGAAGTTGGCCTGGAATCAGACGTATCAGTACAAACTCATGATTTCGAATATATACACACATACATCCAAAATGTAGATATTTGTGTCTCCAGGGGTTAGTGTGCATACATAGATGTCCTTGCTCTGTTCACAGAGAGGCCTAGAACCAATGACCCCCAGTAACAATGGGCACACCCACTGCCCATATCTTGGTGTCTAAACACCATCATCCAAGGAAAGTAAATAGGGCTCCTAGGGGATGTAATCGTATCTGGACTGGAACAGAGAAAATACAGAATGAGTCTGGAACATCTTAAGGGTCCAGAAAGTGAGGAAATACTCAAAAAAGACAGAGGCTGGTTCAAAGAATGCAGAAGCCAACCTGAAGGAGTTTCTCATGGCCAAAGCTAGATAAATCTGAGCAACTAAATAATCAATAAGAGTATCAGATTAACCCATAGAATAAAATCAATATTTATAAGTCCATGCTAATATACATAAGTAATCAAATACATAAAGCAGCTCTTCCTCATGAGAGAATCCCAGTTAATAAGTGTAGAATGAAGGAAGAAAAAAGCATTATACATGTGGTATTTTTCACTCAAAATGGGCATAACCTCACTTCAATCATGAGAAAACACCAGATTGGGGCGCCTGGGTGGCTCAGTAGGTTAAGCGGCTGCCTTCGGCTCAGGTCATGGTCCCAGGGTCCTGGGATCGAGCCCCGCATCGGGCTCCCTGGTCCCTGGGAAGCCTGCTTCTCCCTCTCCCACTCCCCCTGCTTGTGTTCCCTCTCTTGCTGTGTCTCTCTCTGTCAAATAAATAAATAAAATCTTAAAAAAAAAGAGAGAAAACACCAGACAAACCCAAACTGAGGCACACTTTACAGAACAGCTGACCAATAATCTTTGAAAGTGTCAAGGTCATGACCAACAAGGAAAGACTGACGAAATGTTGCCAACTGGAGGGCATTAAGGAGAACTAATGTCTAAAGGAATGTGGGATCCCAAGACAGGAAGGAGACATTGGTAGAAAAATAGGTAAAATTCAAATAAGTTGAATTAATAGCAAGGTGCCAATGTTAATTTCCTGTTCCTGATAATGACACTGTGGTTATAAAACACACTAACGATATTTCAGGAGTAGAGGAGAAGTAGGGATAGGGGTAGAGGAGAATCATTTGTACTGTTTTTGCCACCTTTCTTTGCCTAAAATTACTTTAAAATAGAAAGCTAAAAAAAATCTCATTGGTTATGAAACATATTATAGAAAAAAATGAAAGTGAGAGAATTTCCCTCCCAACGTACTGTAATCTTGATATTGAATTGGAAACAAGTCTTCGATACTTAGCATGGCATAGGTGCTCATACATGCATCTGAAAAAACAGATGAGTAAGGATGGATGGGTTATGGGGTGGCTCTAAGTAAAAGACCTTTTGCAAGTTTAAAGACAAACCTAATGAATTCATTAAGTCTGGGTTTATCTAGAATTTTCCAAGCATGGAGCACAGAATAAGAAATTTTCAAATCCCACAGTCTTACTGAATATTGAAATGCACTTTGTTAGATAATGATTTCTAGGAGGAGTCTTGGATAATGGGGAACGGCAGGAGATTAGTCTCTCTCTAATCTAACAAGTGTAAATCCTCATAAATGCTAACTGGAGATGGTATCTCCAAGTAGACAAAGTGCCCCAGAGGATTTCATGAGCACCTGCCAACAACACCATGACCACATGTGCATCCGGCGTTTGTTACCTTCACTCCTTCTGGAGGGCTCACATACGCTCCCTTTCTCTCATCGTCGGCACATAAGACATATTTCTACATCGAGAAGACAGCAATCGTTAACAGGAAAAGCCTGTGCTCCAGCCCCATGTCACACAGATCGGGTGCTGGGTGCAATTCTCAGACTAGCCTCAACGAGGAAGGGGGTAATAGTTACCCTCTCCTCCACAGGATGGTCGTGAAAATCAAGAGAAACAATGAATGTTACTTTATAAACTCTAACATGCTCTAAAGAAGGAATTGTTTTTTATTTTCCTAGCTAGTGAATCTCTGAAAGTTCAACTCCTCCATGACGACCGAACTGAGTTGCCGAGTTGCCTCGGTCTGTGTTTAGGAAAACACCATAGTGCACGCACCTCACACAGGGCAGGGAGCTCGGCTGTGGTGGAAAGAGCTCTAAGAGGCTATAAAAGTAATTCTGAATTCTGCCACTAATTGGTGGGGGGGTGTGGGGTAATAGAGAAACTTATTCTAAGTTGGTTTTCTCGTGTATAAAATGAGAATAAAAATGC